CTGGGAAACTCACCTGACTGCCTCATGCACCTTCCAGATCAGCATGGACACATGACAGTTGTCTAACTTTGAATTTGTTTTTTAAGGTTTATTTTTCTTTTTGTAATTATGAGTATGCATGTATACCTGTGTTGGAATGTGTACATATGAGCGCAGTTACCTGCAGAGGCCACAAAAGGGCGTCAAATCACCTGAAGCTGCGATCTGCCCATTTTGGGTGTGGGAACTCAGGTCCTTTGCAAGAGCAGTACATGTTCTTAAACACTGAACCGTCTCTCCAACTCCTACCTTCATATCCTTAAATTAATTTTTCCTCTGATGCTTTGCACTCTGGGAGATTGTGTTCGTCTAAATCACACTCTCTTGATACAGATATCATGTCTTCTACCTAACCTCTGTGAACATCCCACTTTCCATGCTAAAGGTGGTTTTGCAGATATGACTAAGAAACCAGTCTATGGGTGACTGAATTAAGTACACTCAAAATTCTTATGTTGAAGCCCTAGCTACCCAGGACCCCCAAATATGAAAATATTTAAGATGAAACTTTTAAAGAGGGTATTAAATTTAAAATGAGGTCAGTAGATCACCCCCTAATCCAATGATCAATATTCTCATTAGATCAGAAAAGGATGACACAGACCCAAAGAGAGTGATAATCATGGAAGACAGGAAGATGGCATCTAACTGCCAAGGAAACGTCTGGATATGTCAGCCTCACTGATACCTGCCCTCAGGCATCTAGCCTCCAGAACTGAAAAAAAAAGTTAAAATTAGATACATTTCTGTTGTTTGCACTGACCAGGAGCCATTTGAGAGCATATCTAGAAGACTAGATCAGAGGCTGCGATGGGGAGCTTGTCCACAGCAATGAAGAGGGTCAATGTAGTCACAAAGGTCTTATGAGAGTAAGATCCAGTAGGCAGGGCAGAGGTCAGTGAGGAGAGAACCTACCATCTTGCTATCATTGAAAATAGCTGAAGAATCCATGACCTGAGCCTCTGAACAGTGGGATTCCAGGACACAGAAAAGGGGAAGAAATGAATTCTACTTAGAATCTCTACATGGGACACAGCCCTATCAACACACTGGCTTTAACTCAAGGGCAATGGATAGGTTCAGGCTTTCCACCCCCAAGACCAGAGAACCCAACCTTTGTGTTCTTTTAAGCCTCTGAGTCTGTGGCAATGTGTTACAGCATCTCCAGACAGGAATGCAAGGATCATATTGCTGTTTCACTGTTCCCAAAGTTTGTACATTCAATGCCATCCCCAGCTTCTCACCCACTTCCCAAATCCGCATCTTTTAATCTGCATCCTCTGGGTTATTGGAATAGCCTGCAGATTGGTTACTTTCAGTCCCTTTCTCTTCCAAACTATTCTGCTCACTTCTGCCAAAGCGATTTTTCTAGGATACCAGCATGACCAGGTCACTCTTCTAATTAACTAAATACTTTGTCTAGCTCTAGCCAGCTGTAATACAAGTACAGTGGTTTCATCAGGACATAGAGCCCTCCATGGTCTCCCTGCATCTAGTGGCGGTAAATGCCCTGGCATGTCAACCTTGACTCTGTGCCTTTGCTCTCTTCAAGGCTGCCTGTCCCTCCTCACCCCCTGCAGCTGTATGCTCCTCCACGTTCTAAGCCTTTTGGACTCTTTGAGCACATCATGCTTTGCTGTATTTCCCTTACTGCCTACTCCATGTCTCACAAGTCGCTGCAGGAGGCCCTTCCTCCTCAAAGCAACCCCATTCTTGTCACCAACTGTTTCAGTTGCCCACCCCCTGTGTTCCCAGGACACATGTTGTTTCTCTTTAGATAGCCTGGAGACAGTTCCCCTGTGGTCCTTGTGCCTTTTTTTTTTTTTTTTTTTTTTTTTTTTTTTTTTTTTTTTTGGTTTTTTCGAGACAGGGTTTCTCTGTGTAGCTTTGCGCCTTTTCTGGAACTCACTTGGTAGCCCAGGCTGGCCTCGAACTCACAGAGATCCGCCCTTGTGCCTTTAATAGACAAATCTCCCATCTTTTCTTCATCCGAGCTAGGATTCTGTCTCTTGAACAGCTCCCCAATGCCCACCAGTGCCTGGCACCATGTGAAGGGGAAGGCAGAAGTTCATTTATTCATCCACACAGATATTCATTTGGCATTCACTCTTAACAAAACAATGTGACACACACATGCATACAAATATGTACACGCACAACTGGCTTGATGTCTAGCATCTAGAATTTCATGGTTAGGCAGATGTGTGTTAAGATGTTAGGGAAATGACCAGCAATAGTATTGCCTAAGTAAACTACCAACAATAAGCTGCAGAGACCGAAAGATGACTTTGTATGTGGGGTGGGGTGGGGTGAGGATGGGGAGGTTCTGGATGAGTGAAAGTTTTCTAGGAGCATCATGGGAGGCAAATGAGGCTGACAAACCCTCTGCTGCAATATGGTAACTCTGTAGACACCAGTGGCCTCATCAAACCATAAGCACAGCTTATGTAAGAAAGCACACAGTAAGAAAAGAACCTCACTCTTAGGAGTGAGTTGTTGTCATATCCTGAGCATGGCGGGAGGAGGGGGCTGTGTGTACTATAAGGAGTCAGGAAAAAAAAAAAAAAAAAAAAAACAGGCAATTGTTATCTGTGAGTCACTATGGGTGGCTAAGGAAACATTTTCATCATTAGGCATTGAATCCCTAATAACTTTATGTAATACAAATCCAGGGGCTGATTGTTGCCATGACTAATACAGGAAACATGTTTCTTTTCAAGGTCAACTCTTGCTCAAGAAAAATGAGAAACGATTCTCTTCCTTGACCCAGATAATGGATAGATAGAAGCAGACTTATATGGATGGAAAAAAAGAGTGAGTCAGAGCACTTTACCCATAAATAACAAAAAAAAGTGGATTAAGACTGACTTGTCTCCAAGCAACCTAATAAATGCAATCACATAACCCTGATTTTAGTATATAAAATAGATGATCAAGAGATTCACTTAAAATTATTCATGGCTGTCTTTTCACTATTTCAATAGATTTTAAAAGCTTCTCTCTTGCCAGGCATTCCATTGCAAACCTTTACTAATGAGGGACCTGAGCCAAGCTATTGCTGTGGCCAAAATTCAAATGCTTGTTAGTGGGTCTCTCAAAGTAGAAGTAGTTTAAAGATCATGGCATCCATAAAATAAAGGAAGAAAGAACGGGAGGAAGAAGGGAGATAGGGGAGAGAGAAGGGGGAACTGGAAGCAAGGATTGTAAAGATAAGATTTCCTTTATAATTCAAATGTATATGAATAGATAGGTTAGTAAGTAAGTGAATGGGTGGTAAATTGTTGTGTAGCACAAATTAAAATCTCTTAAAAACCCAAAGCACATGTAAACATGAATACCACATCTAATGCTATGACTAGGGGTCTTATACACAGAGCATGGACTAGAGTGAGTGAGTTAGATGGCCTTCAAATTATGTAGAAAATTAATTTAGGATAAAACAAAAAAAAGACAAATGACTCAAAGGTTGTTTTAATGTCTTTAATAAAGTTGCAAATGAAATAACAGTACTAATCTGAGAAAATAAAGTCTTCTTATATAATTGAAGAAATGGAGAAGAAGATGTATGTATGCCATGTCTTGGGTATTTTTAACATGGCATGGCAGTTAGGTAATAATGGGAGATCTTTAAAATGAGAGCTTGTTCTTAGAACTGGGTACAATGACCTCCTGCTGACCTTGATGAGGATCTCCTTTTAAAGTCAGACTCCTCGATTTCTACCTTTACCACCTTCCAGATGTGTGTGCTTATCTTCTTTGTACCTCTGTACTTGCTTTTTCTACACAATGGGGATAATAACAATGTAATCTACGAAAATTGTGTTGGTTAAATAAGATAATGCAGGGAAGTTTTGGCAAAATGTTTAACCCCCTGGAAGCACTTAAATGATAATCAGTTATTGTCACTGGTGTCACCATGCTCTACCTCTTTGCAATGTTCCCATTTATGTTGAGAGTTCCTGTTTGAGGCTGAATTGGGCACTCCATTGAGGGAGTTTTGTAATAATGTTAATACTACAATCAGAAAGTCTGAGCTCTGGTCCGAGCTCCACCATTTACCAGATGTGCGGCCATGAACAAATCTGTCAGCCAATTTGATGAACTGTAAGCTGTGAAGAATCACTTGAGTTCTACCCCAGTGCTCGGGCCATCTGGGGATAACATTGATGTGTGTGTGTGTGTGTGTGTGTGTGTGTGTGTGTGTGTGTGTGTGTTTGGGCTCGGCTTCTTGCTGTCCATGCTGGAGATTGAACCTAGAGCTTCACTCTCGGAAGATAAATTAGGTAAACAGTAAGTAGCCTACCATTGGTGGAGCTCCACCCTTCTTTTTACTTTGCCTTTTGAAAACAGGCTGTCCTGGAACTTGCAATCCTCCTGCCTCAGTGTCCTGAGTAGCTGGGATTACAGGCCTACGCTACCAGGTCTGATTTATTTCATCGTATTTCTTTGATATAAAGTTCCATAAAGCATGTAAAAAGCCTGACAGTGGTGTTGTTGGGATCTGATCCCATTAAGAATAAAGAAATGTAGTGATCCGGTTTTACTAGGTCAGGCTACAAGTTACCTGCGGCAGCCACACCACAGATGACACCATGCACAACCTTCAACTTCATGGTGGTGTTCACCTCAATAAACGAGAGGCAGATAGGAAAATGTCAAACCCTGTCAGGCTTTCCTGAGCAGAAACACAACTAATTGCTACTGTTGCCATGCTTCGATTGTTCATGGTGTTCATTTTTTTTGAGGCAAGGACAAAAGTAGCTCAGACTGGTCTGAACTCAACTCCTGATCCTCCTCCACCACTCAAATGCTAGGATTACAGTGAGCAGCACCCACATCTGCTCTGCTTACTCGTTCTTGATCTAAAGAATCCACAATCATATTTTTGTTTAGACTGAAAAGTGCAGATTAAATACAAGGCTCAAACCCAGGTTCCACAGCACAAGGCATTGCATTTGCCATTTATTTTGCAAATATGCATAATATTATACAAACATGTTTAAATTCGTTTATGAACTAGAATAAAAATGCATCATTGTCTTTCTGCATTTTGTAAATTTCTATTTTATATACAATAAATAAATAAAATATTATTAATATGTTTAATATTTTAATATGTTCTTGACAATCCAAGGGGCATCCTGGGCTCTGCTCATGAACCATCTGCAGAGGTTTGGGAGAGAATACAACTTTGCAGGATGGTCAAGACAGAGGAAAAGAACTCACCTTTGAAATGATGACAATTTATTAAGACGAGATTTGTAAATTTATATCCCTGTATTTAAGTTCTCAGAAATTTGATCCCCAAACCATAGATTACAGATCTGTTACAGTTACAAAGTCCATTCTAACAAAATGTCTCCAATAAGAGAGTCCTGACTATTAAGCCGTAAGCTTGAACTAAGACACACTGTTACAGGGCTGCCCTGGGGTGAAGACAGTAAGCTTCAACCAAGATGAACTGTTGCAGGACTGCTCTGTAGGGAAGGCAGTAAGCTTGAACTAAGATACACTGTTACAAGGCTGCCCTGGGGTGAAGTATCCGCACTGCAGCTTTAAGAATTCAAGCGCATCTCATCAAGAGCTGTCCTGACTCTGAGATGAAGCCAGCTTGGCCATTAAAAACATGCTGCAAATTAATATAATAATACTTTCCCAACTTATCTGTGCTGAGCTTCGCCTATATAATTCCTCTCAGCAAAGCTCTGGTGTTTTTGTTTGTTTTGTTTTTTTATTAAGCCTCAGTCTCCTTCCTCTGTCTTTCATGGAACTGATTCACAGCAGAGTGGTAGCATTACACAGCAAAAAGGAAAGCCAGCAAGCTGGGTTTAAGCCGAGAGCTAAGTCTTTCCCCAGAAAACATGAAATTTCCACAGAGAAAATTCCCAAGATGATTAAGTTCACATCTAGGAAATACAAAGGAGGAATATTTTAAGATTTCTGAAGACTTCAAATGAACTTTATAAAGGCAGTAATTGGCAGAAATACAATATAATATTCAATGCATAAAGTATTCGGGAAGAGAAGTAAGCATACTATCAGTGACTTAGTGTCAGAAAAGGGACGCTGGGCCACATGGTTCTGTTCTAATTTAAAACAATGGCAACATACACATATGACCCCATTGTCCTGAGGGGAGAACAGTCTTTCTCTCCTGAGGACAGCATTATGTTGCTTTCAACAACTGCAGCAAGCAAGCCCAGCCTACTTGTAAAGTTTGACATCCGAGGCTCAAGCAGAAATAAGTGGTCTGGTTTTCTTTTCCCTCATGGTCTCCTTCTCAGTAGGCACTGTTCTGGGCCCCCCACATCAACCACCCCTTTTAATAATTAGCAAAGGACAACTCATAAATAATCATTCATTACAAGTTCTAGAAGCAGATCCCAGGCAACAGGATGGACTCATATCACAGCAGGAGCAGGTTGTAGGATCTCATCATAGACAGATGCAACCTACCAACCAGGCAGTGTGGTTCCCTTCCTCCTTCCTTTTCCCTCCCTTCTTCTTCCCCTCCCTCTCTTCCTTCCTTCACTTCCTCTCTTTCCTCTTCCTTCTTTCCAGAGTCCTTGCTTGCTGCCATCCTCCATTCATTTTTATGTATATATTTTTTTTAATATTAAAAGAAAAAACTAAGAAAGTAGAAAGGGGGAGAAAACACCTGATTCATTTTAAAATATATATCTTCATTTGTGACCCAATAAATGAACTTCTTATGCAAAGACTGTATTTCCACTTTCATTACACAGATCCTCAAATTCCTCACAGTGATTCTCTCTTGAGTTAACATTGGAATTTGTCCTAGTGAAGGCATTTAGAAATAGAGAAATGTTCTTGCATTCTCCAAAAAAAGTGATTCGAAACAGACAGTATCTTATGCAACTATTCAGAGATAAGTTCATTAAAAGTCTTGTATCTAGATCATATGTGTAGGTTCCCTCTTTAGAATAAACCACAAACACACTGTAGTAAACTCAATGCCAGCCTGGCAGTGTGGTAAATCAGACACCCCTTCCCTCTTACTCTCTCTGTTGCCAGCATGTTTCGGCTCTAGAGCTATAATGTCACCAGGGAGGAAATATGGAAAAACATTTCTTTCTATGAAAAACATTAAGGAGGTACATTTCTTTCAAAAACCCAAGACAGAAAAGGAAGGAAAAACAGCTGCTCTGGCCCTTTAAAAAAAATAATAATAATAAAGAGATTGAATGGTGGGTTTAACCTTCAAGTCACCTTCAGGAGAAATACAGAAATGAAAGAGTAAAGTATAAAGTGGAAGAGGGAAGCAGTAGTCTTTAATCCATTAGCACAGTTCCCCCTTAACAGAGGGACTTATAAGTCCCTGCATCAGCCCCTTAATGGCCCAGACTAGTCAACAGTTCGGGTGACATTGAAGCTACAATGTTAAGCTACAAGCACCAGCTTTAGCCTAAGTAATCGGCCATGACTTTGTTTGCAAGCAGCATTTTCCTCTCTATACCCGGTTGGATGTTTAACCATTTTTAGCTAGTTTAGAGACGAGGCAAAACAGGCTGATTGTGAAATTAAACATGTGTTTCCTTGTAAATGTCTCTGCGGAGTCATCTCATTGCCAAAGCCCCACAGAAAACTCGCAGCTGAAGCCTGCTTGTCACCCATGTGCTGTCGCTGTGGAGAGCTCTTCCCGGGAGTGCACAGCAAGATACTGCTGGCAGCTTTCTGTAGCTTAGTGAAAGCAGACAGGCACACACAGCTCATGCAGAAGGGCTGCATCCTTAGGCTGCTGCGGCAATATCTAGATGACATCCGGCCGAGGTCCCACCCTGCTAGCCCACATTTGACCGACCCACAGAGTTTTCATTTTCATTTTTTTTTCATGGGAAATCAAAAAAAAATCACAGTTTTACAATATTTACAAGTTAGTCCTCCACTTTGTGGAGTGTCACTCTTAGTGACTTGAGTCTGGGCTCTCCCTCCTTACGCAGTAACCAGCACTCAGCAAATCAGATGGGCCTCATACCCAACCCCCTCACCCTCCACCCCTGCAGCCTGCCCGCAATGCTGCAGTTCCACACTCTAGGACCAAAAGTTAACTCCTCAAATGAACCCTCTTCCTTTTTAAAATCTCACTTCTACCTTAAAATGCATGGGCCAAAAGCTTACAAAACTACAAAATTCAGTCCACCAGAGAGGAAGCCATCTGTGATTCCTTAGTGATGAATACAACAACCCAGTCACATAATGAAACAGAGATCAGAGAATATAAGCCAAAAAAGAAGGCATTTCAGCTTGTTGTCTCTGCTTCCGAGTGCTGATTTATTCCGATCCACAGCTAGCCCCTCCTGTGTGTGTCCCTCAGCTCTGGTTCTAGGACCGCATTCCATCCCTCACTTTGTCTGGCAGGACTCTGAACTTTTTCACTCTGAATTTTCCCAAGCTGTAATCCCAAATAGAAGGGCGTTTTCACTTAAAAATACGCAACCAAAGGAAACTCTCTGTAGAGTGTTTGTTTAACTAAACATACTTAAAAGATGGTTGGCCTATTCCGTGTCAGTCGTCAAAATACACATGGGGAAATATATTGTGTTTTATAAAAGCGGGGGGGGGGGGGGGATACCTGTCTTATTCAAGATGGGGATGACTCTGTTCTGTAGCCTTTCAATTAGTTTAAAACTAATTGAGTTGCCTGGTCAGTTTTTATAGCGCACATAAGTAGTACCTAGACAGAAAGATGACAAGGCATTTTTCAAACTCATCATACATTCTATCTCCCTGGATTTTTCATCTCAGCTTTCAAATTCCCCTTCCCAAGGTATGGTTGACCTTCAAATTTCAGGCCTTGTGTCTCCTCTTTTCCCAGCATCTATCATTTGTCGGAAAAGTCAAATTAGGTTTCAAGTCTCTATTTGCCTTAACTGAGTTTAATGAATTTTAGTTGTTTTCAAAACCTGCAGTCTGTTCATTGTGCCAACTCTGCACTGCAGAGAAGTTAGCGTGGGATTTCCAGCTTGGTTCCTACAAACAAACAGTCACTACAAACAGGTTTATTATTCACTTGAGGAGATGAGCCAGAAGTGACCCTCCTCTGGGCTCTGGCCGACAGGAACCCCAGCGGCCTCCCGGGGTCCCGCCTGGGCGCTGTCCTTGGTGCTGCCGGGTCCTTGGGCGCCCCCGCGCCTTACCTGCTGTAGGCTGCCGAGGTCCCCCAACCGTTAAGCAGACTGGAACGCCACATCCCACTTTTAACACAAATGACTACCCCGGCCCGTCCTCTTTGTCCCCTTCCCGGAGGTTTCGGGTCAGCCATTCCTCAAAAACTCTCTCTTTTTTTTTTTTCTTCTGCACAACTCTCGGCTCATCTCCGCCTGCTTTAAGACAAGGAGTAGGGGGAGGAAAGGGTGGACAAGGAAGATAAGGATGAATAGAGAAGGGGAAAAAATGAGAGTCGGGGGGAAGAGGGGTAAAAGACGAGGCGGCAAAGAAAAAAAAAAATGTCCCAGGGGACAGAGCTCCAAGGGAAATGCCGGATGAGAACTAAGAAAAAAGAAGGGAGAAGGGCCACAAAGGGGGTGGGGGGATGATTTAAAAAAAGATTAGCAGAGCCTAAGTCCAAAAGTAAGGAAGAAAGAGCTAAGGGGTAGGGGACAAAAGAAGAGCCAGGAGGCCGGAGAACTGCCCAAAGAGCCGGAGAGTGACTAGACAAAGAAAGGACGCTCGGCCGGCACTTGCACCAAGGCTGTGAACTGCAAACTGCAGGTGAAACGCAGAAAAGGGAGATCTACAGGGTGACAAGTGGTCTGGGACCCAAGGGGACGCTGCAGAAGGGCCGACCGGGCTACACCCAAATGCGGGGTCCACTGTGGCGCGGGCCCACGTGGAGCGTGGAGCGGCCGCTGAATCACCGCAGGGCTCGTCTCCCCCTTCCCCCCACCCCCGGCCCGGTGCCCGCAGTCCCCGCCTCCTCGACCGCCGCCTCCACGGGGCGGGGCCCTGGCCCGGGACCAGCTGCTCCGCTATAAAGGGGCTGCGGCGAGGCCGGCAGAACGCTGTGACAGCCACACACCCCAAGGCCTCCAAGATGAGCTACACACTGGACTCGCTGGGCAACCCGTCCGCCTACCGGCGGGTCACCGAGACCCGCTCCAGTTTCAGCCGCGTGAGCGGGTCCCCGTCCAGCGGCTTCCGCTCGCAGTCCTGGTCCCGCGGCTCGCCCAGCACCGTGTCCTCCTCCTACAAGCGCAGCGCGCTCGCCCCGCGCCTCGCCTATGGCTCGGCCATGCTCAGCTCGGCCGAGAGCAGCCTCGACTTCAGCCAGTCCTCGTCCCTGCTCAACGGCGGCGGCTCCGGCGGCGACTACAAGCTGTCCCGCTCCAACGAGAAAGAGCAGCTGCAGGGGCTGAACGACCGCTTCGCCGGCTACATCGAGAAAGTGCACTACTTGGAACAGCAGAACAAGGAGATCGAGGCGGAGATCCAGGCGCTGCGGCAGAAGCAGGCCTCGCATGCCCAGCTGGGTGACGCTTACGACCAGGAGATCCGAGAGCTGCGCGCCACGCTCGAGATGGTGAACCACGAGAAGGCTCAGGTGCAGCTGGACTCCGACCACTTGGAGGAAGACATTCACCGGCTCAAGGAGCGCTTCGAGGAGGAGGCGCGGCTGCGCGACGACACCGAGGCTGCCATCCGCGCGCTGCGCAAAGACATCGAGGAGTCGTCGATGGTAAAGGTGGAGCTGGACAAGAAGGTGCAGTCGCTGCAGGATGAGGTGGCCTTCCTGCGGAGCAATCACGAAGAGGAGGTGGCCGACCTGCTGGCTCAGATCCAGGCGTCGCACATCACGGTAGAGCGCAAAGACTACCTGAAGACAGACATCTCCACAGCCCTGAAGGAGATCCGCTCCCAGCTCGAGTGTCACTCAGACCAGAACATGCACCAGGCCGAAGAGTGGTTCAAATGCCGCTACGCCAAGCTCACCGAGGCGGCCGAGCAGAACAAGGAGGCCATCCGCTCCGCCAAGGAAGAGATCGCCGAGTACCGGCGCCAGCTGCAGTCCAAGAGCATCGAGCTCGAGTCGGTGCGCGGCACTAAGGAGTCCCTGGAGCGGCAGCTCAGCGACATCGAGGAGCGCCACAACCACGACCTCAGCAGCTACCAGGTAGGAACCGCGGCTGCGCGGCCGGCCGGCGCCAGCGCCAGCGCCAGCGCCGCGCGCCCCCGACACGACACTCGAGCGCGCGCCCGGAGGCCCTCTTGGTCGCGCTCCCTGGTGGCAGCTCGCCAACGCGCACGAGCGCCCCCGCAGACCCTACTTAGTCAAGGTCCGGGGTCCTTGCCCCGCCCTCCCTCGTTGCCCCACCCACCTGCCTCAACCGCTTAGACATCCCCATCGCCTTCAAAAACTTGCTTTCCTACGGTAGAATCTACTTTTAAAGTAAGCGGCACATTCCGGTGATCGAGAAATGCGTCATTTGATAAGTAAAAGCATAGATAGTCTTTTATATCCTCCCCCAAACTGGCTTCAGTCCAGAGTTTGGGTGGGGATGGAGAGCTAGGTCCAATAGGGACCGTCCTTGGGATCCAGAGTGTTCCCTTTAGGGGCGTTCTAGGCTTACTGATCTCCCTGCGCATGGTGCCTGGGAAATGTCTGGTTGATTTTTGTTGGTTTGTTTTGAATTCCATTACTATAAAAGAAAGGGGTGGAGGCTAAGAGTGATACGTGCTAGACTTTTGGAGCTGAGGGCGGGGCAGGCTCGGGGAGGGGGATAGCAAGTGTCCTGTGAAGGAAGTTTCTGGAGATTCCCTGTGCCTTTCAGGACACCATCCAGCAGTTGGAAAATGAGCTTCGGGGAACGAAGTGGGAAATGGCTCGTCATTTGCGAGAGTACCAGGATCTCCTCAACGTCAAGATGGCCCTGGACATCGAGATTGCAGCTTACAGGTACAGGTTTCCTGCAGACTTGGTCCAGGCGCTATCCGCACTGCACTGCGGAGGGAGCCTGCTGGCTCACAGCCTTCCCCACTGGGGCCAAAGCTAACAATGTTAGCTCAGAGGCCTGGCTCCTCTGCTCAGTTAAAAACAAATGGAATTCTAAGTACTGAGATGCAGTTTTATCATTTTTATTAATCTTAAAGGTGACTATGGGGAGGATCCGGGAGGAGGGAGGAGTTGGGGGAGGCAAAAAGAATATGATCAAAATATAATTGTACTAAAAAAAAAAAGCCCAAAAATGCACCAAAAAAAAGTGGGTAAAGGATATTTTTAAGTTGCTGGGGGCCACACCAATAGACTTAAACATTTTGTTTTAAATGCCTTTGTATGTCTGACAGGCAGATGAATTTTTTATTTTTAATATTTCATCTGATGATTCTAACTCTTTTATAATGCCAAGGACAAACACCAGGTCATTCTGCTTCTGTTTCTCTTACAGCATTCTGTTGCCATCATCTGGTTGAGACTGGATATAGACGCATTAGAATATAGATACATTTATTTTAAATCTATGGATGATATCCATGCATTCTATCTGACTACAGTATATGTGATACCTTCATATAGCTAGATCTATACAAGCATTATGTATAGAACCGTACAGAACTAAATGTATAGGCAATTATAGGTTTGATCTCTTTATCAATAGGCTGGTTATAGGTCTCTGACTAATGCTGTCTTTCTGCTGACCAGATTCAAAACACACAGTTCTTGACAAAGCAATCATTTTCTATAAGGACGTTATAGCACGAATAAACTGCACTTTCTTTAAAAAAAAAAAACCAACAACAACAACAACAGACGATTGTACAAATAGACATATTGTCACTGAAATCGTAAAACAAATTATAGCTGGGTTCATCTATATTAACATCTAGCTATACTTTAAATTCACCAACATTCTGATTCATGCCCAATAGTTTTAATTTTTTAAATTGAACATTTTATTTGCTCTAACAGTTCATACAAATCTTGACAATTCAAATGATGAGGGAGGCCACCATTTGGGGGATGGAGAGGGTTGTCAGCTAGGGACCTTCTGAGCACGTTCATACTGCACCAATGGCTGACTGCTGCAGAGCTCAACTTACTGTCTGGGTGTGGTTAATTGTCTCCTGGGAGTGGCTAGATACTGCAGCAGAGAACCGGCTGGCACTCCTGGAGAATCTGCCCCTGAATGTGATGTAACACGTCAGTTAAGTGACGGTAGATGCTGCACTGGTATACAGAATGTCTTTCTTATGTGGTTCTATTTATTCTAAAGTGGCCTGTGCATTACCTTTATGGTAATGAAGATTAAAAGGCCACATAAGTCTTCGACGTTGTCTCACCCTCTTTGATTCCTTCCTTAGGAAACTCCTGGAGGGTGAAGAGACCAGATTTAGCACATTTTCAGGCAGCATCACCGGGCCTCTGTACACACACCGACAGCCCTCAGTCACAATATCCAGTAAGATTCAGAAGACCAAAGTGGAGGCTCCCAAGCTCAAGGTCCAACACAAATTTGTGGAGGAGATCATAGAGGAAACTAAAGTGGAAGATGAGAAGTCAGAAATGGAAGACGCCCTCACAGCCATTGCAGAGGAGTTGGCAGCCTCCGCCAAGGAGGAAAAGGCAGAGGAGGCTGAGGAGAAGGAAGAGGAACAGGAAGCCGAAAAGTCTCCCGTGAAGTCTCCTGAGGCTAAGGAAGAGGAGGAAGGGGAAAAGGAGGAAGAAGAAGGCCAGGAGGAAGAAGAAGAGGAAGACGAAGGTGCCAAGTCAGACCAGGCGGAAGAGGGAGGATCTGAGAAGGAAGGCTCCAGTGAAAAAGATGAAGGCGAGCAGGAAGAAGAGGGAGAAACTGAGGCAGAAGGTGAAGGAGAGGAAGCGGAAGCTAAGGAGGAAAAGAAAACTGAAGAAGTGGCTGTCAAGGAGGAAATCAAGGTAGAGAAGCCAGAGAAAGCCAAGTCCCCTGTGCCAAAATCACCAGTGGAAGAGGTAAAGCCAAAACCAGACACCAAGGCAGGGAAAGGCGAGCAGAAGGAGGAAGAGAAAGTTAAAGAAGAAAAGAAGGAAGTCGTCAAGGAAGCACCCAAGGAAGAGAAGGTGGAGAAAAAGGAGGAGAAGCCAAAAGATGTGCCAGAGAAGAAGGCCGAGTCCCCAGTAAAAGAGAAGGCTGTGGAGGAGGTGATCACCATCACCAAGTCGGTAAAGGTGAGCCTGGAGAAAGATGCTAAAGAGGAGAAGCCTCAGCAGCAGGAGAAAGCGAAGGAGAAGGAGAAGCCAGAGGAGGAGGGAGGGAGTGAGGAGGAAGGAAGTGACCGCAGCCCACAGGAATCCAGGAAGGAAGACATAGCTATCAATGGGGAGGTGGAAGGAAAAGAGGAGGAACAGGAAACTCAGGAGAAGGGCAGTGGGAGGGAAGAGGAGAAAGGGGTGGTCACTAACGGGCTAGATGTGAGCCCAGCGGATGAGAAGAAAGGGGATGAGGGCAGCGAGGGCAAAGTGGTGGTGACCAAGAAGGTAGAGAAAATCACCAGCGAGGGGGGCGATGGTGCGACCAAATACATCACCAAGTCTGTAACCGTCACTCAAAAGGTCGAAGAGCATGAGGAGACCTTTGAGGAGAAACTAGTGTCAACTAAAAAGGTAGAAAAAGTCACCTCACACGCCATAGTCAAGGAAGTCTCCCAGGGTGACTAAGGTTTGAGCCCACTGCAAAAGGTTAAGCCATACGACAATTTCAAAATGCATGTGATTGACAGCTTCAAAACAGAATGGGTTCTCCCATGGGGGCTCCAGACATTGTATTTTTCCTTTGTGCAATATGAGGGAACTGCATGCAAGCTCAGGGTGCCTCCTCCGCAGTCTTGGGGGGATTCAAATGCATGATCGTATATGTACCTGGGGAATTGCCAGTGTCCTGAGATGTTGGAAGAGGGGCACTCGGGGGGATGTCTTGAGGTGTATTATGCAAAGTACCAACTGAGCCAAAAAATAATAAGTGAAACAGAACTCTCTTAGCCTTAAGAAAGCTATATATGAATACTTATGTTTACCTCACTGGTGCATTTCAAATGGACTTCTGTTCATGGGAGAACCTTGCTGACCTGCAGTTTGCAACCTTATGTTGATCGATGTTAAACGTCACATCAGTCCTTGCTCAATAAAGGTCATACTGGAAACATAAGTCAAATGTGTGGTGATACCTTATTTCACGGTGAAGTATCTTCTGCCAGGAGCTGCCTTCCCCCAGAATGCATTGCCTATGGAAACTGTTAGTGACCGGCACACCTCAGGTCTCTAAGAGAATCTAATTGGAAAACAAGTTGATTAAGAGGTTTTCATGTGTTGGCACACTTACTTAGCCCAGGCTTCATCCCGAAACTTTAAAACTATGGTTCTGAAATAAAAGTAAGAGCATCATGGGGAAATAAAAGGAGGTCTGGAGGGAGGGAAGACTTCAATCTCCAGATGGTTTCATCCTGAGGTCGGTCGAGTGTCTCAAGGTAAGAGGGTAATAATGAGGTCATAGCAAGTACCCTGCAGTTGGGCTGCTGAACGGGAAAGTCATGTGTGTCTAAAAGAAGTGGGACTTAAATAGCCAAATGTCCACTCTGGTGAACACTTCTTTTCATCACTGTTTTCTTGATTTGGTTGAAAACAATTTATACTGTTTTTATTAGTTGGGGAAATAATACCAAAAATAAATAAAATATTCACATTTGTTTAAAAAAATGAATCTTTGATTTAGGGAGTAGATAGATTTAAGTGAAAAGCCCTGGTCTAGACCAAGGGAAAACAATACTATTTCCTTTCCAAAGTTATTTGCCTTAGACCTTTACACTCATATGTAAATTAATTAGCAATTATCTTTTCCGACTTTGTTTTTTTTTATTAGTGAGACCAGCCCAAGGACATCCTCCTTTGATGCTCTGGTTAAATGGTTTTTCAAGCTATTCCAATTTGAAACTCTGAACATACCCATGGAAGCTCAGAGATAATGGCAGTTTTTGCAATGATGTTTCCCCAGCCATTTGCCAGTACTCAGTTTTACAAAACCTGCATCTCACCTGCACACTTATTTATGTATAGCTCTCCTTTAAAACAACTCATGGTTTATGTGAAAAGACTCATTTTTTACAGCTGCAATACTATCCATGGCACCCGAGATGAAACGGGGCTATTTAAATATAACAAGCCCCAAACCCCAATTCTCTGTGGAAGTTAAAAATAAAATGAGCATTCTGGAGGGATCCAGGGTACCACCTGGAGCACAGCGATCAGCTGATGAAGCAGGTGTTGGGAAAGAGGAGCTGGGACAGAGGTCACAGACAGTCCCTGAGACTGACTCAGCCCAGAACTATGATGCTTTGATGAAAGTTCCAGAAAACAGCATCACATTTGCCTCCCATCTTGGCCAGTCTAATTAAAAGTGACTCCAACAGTGGGGGGGTGGGGGTGGGGGTGAAGCACCTCCCCTTCCCCAAGGCCTAGAAACCTATCAGAAGTGAAAACAGAAGCTGCCTCTATATGATCTAAGCCACATAAACTTCAAGTGGTTATTAATAAGTAAACATTATTATAAAAATAATTATTTGTTCGTGAAACCATCTCATCAAATAAAAGTACCAGGAGGGGGAGGGGAGAGTACCAACACTGGTCCCTGGGTGCAGAAACCCTTTTTCGAGTTTTTGTATTGTTGTGTTATGTTTTGTTCCTGTTTTGCAGCATGTACTGTTTAAAAATGAGATCAGTCAGCTGAATTCTCTCTGAGGCCAAAACTGTGTCCTTAACCCACCAGCCCTGGCTGCTTTAAACCACCTCCTTTTCTTTCCTAGGAATATTTCTGCATTTTGTAAAAGACAGAATCACTATTTTCACCTCCTCACAAACATTAAAACAACATTTCTTTGATAATCCGCGTAAACATTTCTAAATCAATAAATGGTCTTGCTGATTCATCAAGTAAACTAGATGTTTATTAAGGATCCTATGGAGACATACTGTTCTTCTCTTCTGGAATAACTACTTCAATTGTGAATGACAAATATTACACTCTAATTCAGAGGAATACAATCTGAAATTCATATTTCCAGATGTACTCAGTGACAGTGAGAAAGTGTATTGAAAGCTGTCCAGGAAGCTAGGGACTGGTATCTCTGACTATAGTCCATCTCGGGCTACAGGGACACTAAGCTAATGAAAAAGAGAGTTGCTGTTTGGCTAGTAAATTGTCTTTGAGACACTGTTCATTTCTTATATTGTGAGAAGTATTGAAGATAGTTAGATCTCAATAGTTTTCTAATTTTAAAAATAAAAGGATCTCCTTAAAAACCTTTATCTGGTCAGCAAGTAGGATCATGGAACTGAGATTTAACCTAGAGTCCAGCTCCAGAGTATACACTGCAAACTCCTATACCACATCATCCCTCAGATCTACCTCTTAGCCCCACCCCCTCAGACCCACCCCTCAGATCAGATCCACCTCTTAGCCCCACCCCTCAGATCCACCCCTCAGACCCACCCCTTAGTTCCACCCCTCAGATCCACCCCTTGGACCCACCTCTCAGATCCACCCCTCAGACCCACCCCTTAGCCCCACCCCTCAGATCCACCCACGTGGACCACTCAATTTATAAGGATGTCCATCTGATTCCTTTGTTTCTTTTCAGAGGAGAGAGATCAGAGCCCTGCCTTAAGTCCTGCATTTAGCATGCTTATCTCGAGGGCATCACTTACACCATGAGAGGTTGCTCAAACACAAAATCAGTGGCGATTCCTTGCACCACACAGCTTGCCGCAGTAATTTGACAAATGCTGTTCTCGTGGTAAACTTGCATGTTCAATTTTTTTTTAAGGAGTTATTTCTGGTGTGTTTCAGCCTACAGCCAGTCAGTGCAGAGACGGTTCTAAAACATTAGGACTGTTGTTTCCACAACAAATAGGTTACTAGTTCCAGTTTGGAACGAGTTCTTTTTCCTGGTGGTTTATAGAACTCGCCCAAAGGGAAGCAGTTTTGTTCTATTTTGTTGTTTTGTTTTGTTTTTTATTCTTCTCCTATACATCACATCTCCTCCCTCTCCTCCCCCTAGTCTCTCCCCCCAACCTCCCTTTCCCCTCAGATTCACACCCCCACTTTGTCTCCCCTTAGAAAAGAGCAGGCCTGCCAGGGATATCAACCAAACACAGCATAGGTATGTGGTATGTGCCTACAATAAGACCAGGCACATACCATCACATCAAGGCTGAAAGAGTCAACCCAGTAACAGGAAAAGGGTCCCAAAGGCAGGCAAAAGAGTCAGATACAGCCCCTATCACCACTGTTAGGAATCCCCCAAGAACACCAAGCTACTCTGCCATAACATATAAGCAGAGGACCTAGGTCAGACCCCTACAGGCTCCCTGGTTGTTGTGAGCCCCCATGAGTCCAGGGCAGTTGATTCTGTGAGCCCTGTTCTCATGGTGCCCCTGATCCCTCTATTTCCTCTGCCCCCCTCCTCAGGACTCTCTGAGCTCCACCTAATGTTTGGCTGTGGGACTCTGCATCTGCTCCTGTCAGTTGCTGGATGAAGTCTCTCTGGTCTCTTTGATGAGGATTCTGCTAGGCTCTGGTCCTAGAACACTCTGCAGGCAGGACACACTGCAGGTTGAAGGTTTTATGGCTGGGTTAGTGTCCAACTTCCTCTACGTGAGGCCTTGCCTGGTTACAGATGGGTGGTTCAGGGTCCATGTCCCCCATTACTAGGAGTCTTTGCTAGGGTTACTCTCATAGATTCCATAGATTTGCATTGCGTTAGGTTTCCACCTCGTACCAGAAATGCCCTCAGTTCCAGTTGTCTCTCCCAGTGTTCCCACACACACAGTTGATCCTTCCTGTTCCCAACTCCATCTGCCCCCAGTTACCCTCAAAATCTATTCTATTTCCCCTTCCCAGGGAGATTCTTTCTTTCCTACCTAAGCCCTCTTTGTAACTTAGCCTTTCTGTGAACCGAAGCATGATTATCATTTACTTTACAGCTAATATCCACCTATAAGTGGGTACATACCATGTTTGTCTTTCTGGGTTTGGGTTATCTCACTCAGGATGATTTTCTTTTCTAGTTCCATCCATTTGCCTGAAACTTTCATGATGTCATTTTTTTTAATTCAACATAATTTCTTTATTGAATCTTTGGGAATTCCACATCGTGGACCCTAGTTCTGCTCACCTCCCAGTCCCTCCTTATCCTCTGCTCACCCCAGCAGCACCTACCCCGCAAAGAAAAATTTTTAAAAAATCAAATCAAAACAAAATAAGCAAACAAACAAACAAAAAAGAAAACCAAAACAAACAAACAAAAGCCTCTTCTTCCTCCATCTTTCCAGGCTCTCTAACACCTCTTCATTCATCCTGGTGGCATTGGAAGCTGGAGTGTGTCACACAGCACACCCTTTTGTCCAATCAGCTTTACTTGCAAATGTTCACTGCAATGAGTCATTGGTCTGGTTCAAGGCCTCTGCTTTCATCACTGGATCCTCACCAAAACTCCTCTCAGATATCACAAGGCTACCCCGAGTCATGGAAATCCTGTGGGTATCATTCCATAGGACCAGTTCTTTCATGAGCTCCAGCAGGTCCTAGATGGGGTAGGTGTTAGGGTGGGCCCATTGGGAACAGGCAAAAGGCATCCTGTCTTTTTTACTTCAGAGTCCATTTTACCTGTAGGGTGAAACGAAGTACAGGTTCCCAAGCCCTAGGGGAGCTGGGAATCTTGTAACACGAATCCTAAAAGGTCTTATTAATAAAAACAAACCCGGAGCCAGGTATTGGGGTGAACACTGAAAGATCAGAGAAACAGAACAAGCCACAGCTACCTCACCTTGCCAATTCCTCAGCTGATCTTGTTTCTTCAAACTGAAAGCCTCTGTGTCCTCATCCAAATAGATCTCAGCTGAACTGCTGCTAAAAGTCTAAAAGCTTAAAAGAGCCTAAAAAGTCTCTAGTTCTGTTTCCTGCCATCACTTCCTGGGATTAAAGGCATATGTCACCATGCCTGACTGTTTCCAGTATGACTTTGAACTCACAGAGATCCGGATGGATCTTTGCCTTTGGGATGCTAGGATTAAAGGTATGTGTGCCACCATTTTCTGGCCTCTGTGTCTATCTAGTCGTGGTGATATTGTGTCCCCCAATATATTGTGCGCCCT